ATTTTTAAACCAATGCATTTAATTTCAAATTATGAACATTCAGATTCACCTCCTGTTGGCACAAGATTTATCACATACGTTATGTTTCAGACTAAATCACTTCTCATGAGAACTGAGTCATCGTTTCACGAGCTGCAAGTGTAGCAACACTTGTGTGTGTCTGCGTACGGGTTGCCCTGGCAACCACCCAAACCCGTGTGTAATTAGTGAGTCAGTGTGTGTGTTTGTGTGTGTGTAGTGTCAGACGTACCCAGAGGGCTCCTGTGAGTGTGAGATAAGATGAGCATCGGTGAAACTTAAAGCCTACGAGTGTTGATGTGTCTGACGGTCACAAACGCTCGCTCCGGACCACCGGCGGCTTCGGTGGGGGGCGCCGCCGCTGCTGCCGCCATGATGTTAAAGTTGTCATGGATACGCCGCTGCACCGGTTGAATTCGTTGGGTAAATCGTTCAGGCTCGAGCTGATTGTGTTTTTATTTTTTATTTTCTCTCTCTCTCTCTACACGTCAGGGCTCGGCCCGCCGCTAATGACCACCTGCCTCCACGTCGTTAACGTTTCCTCCGCTGTGCGTTTAAAAAAAAACACACACCCAGAGCAGAGATTTTACGTAAATATAACCCAGCTCCTGTGCAGCTGCTTCATCACCAGTTCATCACTGAGCTCACTTTAATCTGCAGGCTGCAGCACAGTAAAAATGTGCAAATTTAAAGATTTCCTTTTAGTTTTCTTAGTTTCAGCCTTGTACTTTTATACTTTAACAGCTAATTCTCATGGTTTACAGGATAATTTTACCTTTGTTTTACCTTTAAAGTTCCTGTGACATGCATATACTTCAAATACAAAAAGTCAAAGAAAACATCTATACTTAATAAAATTGCCCTAATACTCAGGATTTTACCCATTTTGTCACATAACTGGCCTATTTTCTTTTGAATTTGGCTCAGCCAAAGTAAGACAGGAAGTGACATCAAAGGGGAACTCATTAATAAAATAAAATCTTTGGTCTTTGTGTATGAAAACAATATCATTTAAACTTTAACTCTTCTTCATCTCTTTGGTGTTGACTCAAAATAATCTAAATAAACTAGTCTGTTAGTCGTCGTAGCAATGATCTGTTTACATGCAGACACTCCCCTCTGACATCACTTCCTGTTTCTTCACAAGCAAATATCTCAACAGCTGTTCATCTCAGCGACATGAAATTTGTTTTGCAGTGTTATCTTTCCAAAAATGCATTCATGTTTATTACAAAAATTTGATGTCACAGGCACTTTAACTTCATTTATTAAACTTTAAACTTTGTTCCTAGCTTGTTTTTTATTAACTTAAATAATAAACAGATTTAGTTTTTAAAAATTAGGCTGTTTTTTGTGACTATTAAACAAAGCTTGGTGTGATTTGTTGGGGATTACTCTCAACTACTGCCGCATTTTAGCTCATATTTGTAAAACTGACCAAGTTATATTCCTGAGTGTTATTATAAAATATAATATATATCACTTTTTTATTATTATTAACTTTATTAATTTAATTTAAAAAACATATTTACATACAACAAAACTATACAAA